AACCAAACATGAATCTAGATAGAAAATAAGCATTTAGAAATGGAAATTTTCAAAATTCATTGCACATAAGAATTGAAATACAATGCATAAATATTTATATCTTCTTGGATTTCATACTATTCAGATTTCCCCTAAGGAAGATATACTTTTTCAGCATAGAGCTAAATGTTATTTTACTTACTAAAAGGTGAACATTCTTACTGATTTATAACTGTTGCAATTCTTTTAGATATTTAATTCTTTTGGCCTTAGTTTATCTTTATGATCGGTGTCTGAAGTATTAGAAAGCTAGATAGATATGAGCATTATGTTTGGGTCAATCTGCTTGGGTTTAAGCCAAATAACCTTGAATAAGTTACTTAAATTTTCTATACCTGTTTCCTTATTTTCAAAATGAGGATTTTAATTGTCCCTGTGTCTCAAAGGTATTAGAATTAAGTGGGAAATACATGCAGAGTGTTTAGTGTATACTTATAGTGAGCACTCAGTAAACTGTACTCTAAGCAAAAGTAGATTTTAGAATTTTTCAACTACCCTTTGAACTTCCCATAACTTTTACTCTTAACGGTCAAAAAACACACAAGCTAGACACTGACCCTTATCTTTTAATTTTTCTCTTGAACTTTTGTTCCGAGTGTTGCTTCTCAACATTGTGAAATAAAAATTAGAGTTTCTAAAAAGATTAACTCTAGGTTAACTGAAAATATTAAAGAGAGCAAGCACTTTGTTCTATAAACATTTTCATTCATTAATTGAAGTTCTTTAAAAATTATTTCTGTGCTGGGTGTGGTGGCACATGCCTGTAAATCTCAGTGACTCTAAACGAGGAAAATTGCAAGTTTGACGCCAGCCTCTGCAATTTAGTAAAGCCCTCAACAACTTAGACCCTGTCTCAAAATAAAAAATAATAAAAATAATTTTAAAAAGAGCTGAGAAGTGGCTTAGTGGTTAAGCACCCCTGGGTTCAATCCCTGGCACCAAAAATAAATACATGCATACGTACATAAATAGGGCTGGGGATGTAGCTCAGTGGTAAAGTTCTCGTGGGTTCAATCCCCAATACTCCCCCCAAAAATTATTTCTATGATTTTGTTAAAAGTTAATATTACATTCTGATGTTAAGCTTTGCAGTATAAAAGCTATCAACTGACTTTGTCACTAAACTGGAATTTTAAACTTCATTTCTGTGTATTTTTGATTTTGACATTTAGAATTTGAAGATTAGTATAGTCTTAAAGAGGATCTGTTTTTTTAAGGATGTACATAAAATGCAGAACTATAGAATTAAGGATAAAGCAGAAAATAAATTAATCCAGTTCAAGAATATATTTTCCTGTAGCTTAAAAAAATGAATAATCTACCCTCTACAAGTCATATATATGAGCTAGAATGATCTCTTGAGAAGTACAAAGTCCATCAATTTCAATTGTATTTAAAGTTTTCTCAATAATGAGAACTTGGACAGTGCCATTTAAATGTCATTAAACCTCTCAATCAGCCTCATCTTAATAATTCTTTTCAAAGTGGAAATTCTGAAACTTGAGAGAAATTGAAGTGTGAATAATGATGAAATTATTTTAGAGTTTTCACTTGTATTTTCACAAAGGCTTGCTTATTACTCAGTTTTAGCCCTATGAGAGGGAAAATTTTTCAGATGAAATGGCTTTTATTTTCAAAGTTGTAGGAAACAAATATAGCAAAAGAAAATTATTGGGTTTTTTTAGGTTTGCTTGTAATAGGAGGGAGTAACTAGAGAAGGTTTTCTTGAATTGAGGTAAAGTCAAGCGGGAAGACTCTTAAACTTTGGAATCAAGATTTTAAATCCTTCTTCTCCCTTACTAGCTAAATATGTGGCATTGGGAAATTATTCAGCATTCTTGAACCTTATTTTCTTTCCTCAGTTTTAAAATCAGGTGATCATACATACCTTTCTGAGTAATTACTCAATGTTTAAAGCACTCAGTTACTGGCACTTTGTAAGTGATCAGTGTTATTTCCTTTTTCCTATGCTCAGGAAATGCCTTTTCCTTCTTTCTCTACTTTTGGTCTCTTATATTAGTTCTGAAGGAGCTAAAACCCAAAATATACAAAATTACTTTTCAAGTTTTAATGCAGGGCTGTTGAATACGAGTGGTAAGGGGACAGTCTTGCCTTGTTTCATATCTGAGGGGCAAAGCATCTGGTTTCTCACTATTAAGTATGATGCTAGGTGTAAATTCAGTTTCAATTTTTTCTATCTTCAAATTCACCAACTCTTTCTTCTGTCATCTCCATTCTCCTATTGAGTGTGTTTTCATTTTAGTGGTTGGACTTACCAGTTTGAATTTTTCCATTTGGTTCTTTTTATATTTTCTCTTTCTTTCCTGAGACTTTCCATTTTTCTTCTGTTTCTAGACTATTAGCTGTTGCATTTTTTAACTGCTTTAAAGTCTTTGTCAGATAATTCAAATAACTGCCAATTGATTTTGGATATTGCATTGTAAGAATTTGGGTCTTCATTAAAATCCTATGGAGGTTTTTGATTTGGTTTGATTTAGTGTGGTAAGGTGTGGTTCCATCATAGAGATGGAATCCAGGCTTTTGTGCATGCTAGGAAAGTGCTCTAACATTGAGCTATACTCCTAGTCCCAAGAATATTCTTATTTTTATTTTAGCAGACAGTCAATCTAGTTAGGTTTCAGGCAGCAAGTTCCAACTTGCTGGACTGCTTGGCTGTGGTTCTGATACAGGTTGCATATTCCTTATCTGAGAGTGCTTGGGACTAGAGGTGTTTTTCAGATTTACATTTTTTTTTTTTTTTTAGGTTTTAGAATATTTGCATGTTTGTAATAAGATATCCTGGGGATAGGACTCAAGTCTTAACATAAAATTCATTTGTGTTTCATTTATACCTCCTACACATGGCCTAAAGTAACTTTATACAATGTTTTTAGTGTACCTTGTATTAGATTTGGGAGGATTTCAGATTTGGGATTTAGATAATGCTTAACCTGTATTGATTTACTTTTCAAAGCCTTTATTATAATGTTCTATGTATGTATCACCCATTGACAATTCTGGAACTATGAGGTGGTTTATCCATTGGTTTAGCTCTAAAGTCTCTGGTATGCTTATTAGGAGCAGATTCTTACTTTATAGTTCCAGGATAAATCCAGGAATTCATAAACAAATTGGGATCAGTTTTCCAAGCTTTGTCCTCCCTGTACTCTCCTCAATATTTTCTGGTTCCTTGAATGTATCCAAGAACCTGATACTTTGGTTCTCTGATTATTCTGCTTTATCCCATGTTCTCATAATTTCACTTCAATCTAGGATCAAATTGAGAGAGATTCATAGTGAGAAAGAGTTGGGGGGGGTGTATAAAAAGGCGTTGTCCTCATCTTCCTATAATCACATACAGTTCCACTAAACAGAAAGGAAGGTGTGGCCCTTGAAGATTTTCATTGTTTTCCTTTTGCTACACTACCATCACCATCACCACTGGACATCCTGGGACCCCTTTACTCTCTCTGAACATAGGAGTTGCCGTTCATGGTCCTCAAGCCAGAACTGGAGTACTTTTCTCAGAGTTCTTTTTGTACCCTATCATTCATATCTGTGTTAATTTTAGGCTGGAGGTGCCAAAGGCAAAAGGGGAAGTAAATGCCTTACCAGTTCAACAGTATCTTGGATTCTGGCATTTTGTGATTCATCTGCTATTATTTACTTTTCAGAAATCTCAAATAGCTGCTCCATGTATTCTGTCCAGATTTTATGGTTTCATCCAATGTGAGGGACCTGGAACCAAACCCTGAATTTCCTTTTAAAAGGGAGCACTTGTAATATTGCCACTATCCCTTCTGCTTTTCTAACCAAGGACCAGTCCCATAATAAGGTATAATCTGAATCATTACTACTTTACATTAAAAAAAAAAATCATGCTGGGTACAGTGGTGCATGCCTGCAATCCCAGCTACTTGGGAGGCTGGGGGAGGAGTTCACAAGTTTGAGACCAGTCTGTGCAACTGAGCAAAACCCTGACTCAACATAAAATAAATAAAAAGGGCTACAGATATAACTCAGTGGTAGAGTACTTTCCTAGCATGCACAAGGCCCTGGGTTTGATCCCCAATACTACCCCCTAATTTTTTTTTTTTTAAGTTTGCTCTCTATTGCTTCTAGGCTTAAGTGTAGACTCCATATTTTAGGACTCAAATTCCCCAACTAAATGTATCTCATATTCCAGCCAATAGGAATACTTGCTGATATATAATGGCCTATTACATATGTGTAATTTTGTTTATGTATTTCTTTTCATTCTATAATAGTTTCTCAGCCTTCCAATTTCTTCCTTATCAAATTCTACATGTCTTTTAAGCTTAGGTATACCACCTACTTAAAACTTGAATTATCCTCCTTGCTTTTATGCATTTTCCATAACAGAAATTGTGTGATCTCTTTGTCCTTTGAAATATTGTTGGTTTGTTTGTATTTTTTTCATATATATATCTTTGTCTTGGAATAATTTTTATGTATAAAGATATAACTATCTCACACCAGCTATTATGCTTTAGAATCAATGGATTCAGGTAACATTTGATGCCTGTCATATACTGTTTTTTTAGTTGTAGATGGACACAATACCTTTCTTTATTTTTTAAATAATTTTTAAAATATTTTCTAGTTGTTGACATACCTTTATTTTTATTTATTTATATGTGGTGCTGAGGATTGAACCCAGTGCCTCACATGTACTAGGCAAGAACTCTACCACTGAGCTACCCCACTGAGCTCTATCCCAGCTCCACCATATGCTTTTTCACTTACTCTCCTATAACAACTCTTTGAAATAATCATTCTAAGTTCTTCATATGAAGACACTATTGGTAATTAAAATAAGAATATCTTAACTGTGAGTTTCTTAAGTGAGGGAATTTCCCTTGTTTCTACTACCTAATCCCTACCATATAGAAGCTACTCAAAAACAGCAATAATGTGAACATTTTTTCTTCTTTTTACAGTACCTTGGCCATGTAGAAGTTGACGAGTCAAGAGGAATGCACATTTGTGAAGATGCTGTAAAAAGATTGAAAGCTGTATGTATTTGATGGTTGCTAGTATTGATCTATATATTTTGATCTATATGTCAATATTTTCTTACAATATTGTGCTCAGTAGATGTTAGTGACTCAGTATCCAGTAAGAACAATGTTTCTTTTAATGCAAAAGATGTGGGCATACTAAAAGAGAACATCTCATGCTGTCCCTCCAAAGGTATAAATTATAAAGACCAACCTCTTCAATTTAGGCTAAACTTCACCCCAAATGTACTTTTGATTTATTATAATCCATATGAAACAAGTGATGTAAAGTCTGATAGAAGAATAATACTCTAAAAGCAGAATAAAAATGGTTAAAGTTAACATTTCAACCTGTGATAATTGGGAAATATATTTATTTTAAATCTACTATGACAAACAGCTTTCCAACAGAAAGTAGAAAATAGAAATATCTGTGTTGATGCCTCACAAGGTTTACTTCTGGGATTTCTTCTTCTTGTCCTCAGGCCTACTTCCCAGCTTTCTTATCTACATCCCTCTAACAAAATCTTTTCTACTGCCTTTTGCATAAACTTTAGCACACTTGGAATGGAGAGACCCCTTTCCAGGATAAATGTTTCCTTTGCCTATTAATGCTATAGAATACATCCCAGGCACATGCTTGCGGATTTAGTAAAAGGAGAGAATTGGTTCATGGTTCATAAAGGTTCAGATTAAATTGTTCATATTTTTGATAGGTTTAAGGAACATTCCATAGATTCTGAAAGCCCTCTTCACACCCTTCCTTCTTTCCAATATGTGGCCTTTTCCCACTTGATGTGAAAGCTTTTAAGTGTTACTTCTGCATGCCTTTTTCCCAAAACAGCATTAAATACATGTTGCTTTGGGTTTGCTGATATGGTACGCTGTCACAAGTTTGGCTACTAATGACTGCTTTTTTTTTTTTTTTCTCAATTTGCTTGATAACTGAAACTTCTCTACTTGTTGATATAATCTATATTTCCTCTTTATCTATAATTTCCTCTATGTAAGATATAGAAATATATAAAATTAAAAAACATCTCAGAGGTAGATTTTATTTTGGAATAAATGTATGAATTTGTTGTAAAAGGAAAAAAGGAAAAAAATATCTGATTGTAGTTACTATACAAAGAACTAAACAATAATAACTCTGTAGACACAGGTATACATATATCTCTCTCCACAAATGTATATATCTTTACCTCAGATTCTGGTCATTTACATTCTTAAATGATTGAAGCCCTTCCTAATTTATCCTCTCTAATTCATCATTAATGTTAAAAGGATTTATGTGTTATGATACATGAAACTATAGATTTGCTGTGTGATTTGAATATATTCCCCAATTAAATATAGATTCAGACAATTTAATTTTCCATTTTCACCAAAACCTATATAAAAGAGAAATGAAAATTCAATTTTCTTGTTTACAAAATAATTCTTAGTTTATGAGTTTACATAAGAACATTTGAAAAAATAATACAGATACTTACATTTCTTAAATAATGTAACATTGTATTACTAATGACTAAAAACAGTAAACCAATAAACCAAGTAGACCTGAATCAAACAACAAATAGGTATTAAAATCTTATAACTTACATAACTTAGGGTTAAAAAGCCACTGTGAAATGAGCGTTTAGAAAATCTTTTAATTCAGATTATGACTTCATGATCATTATCTAATAAAACACTAAAGATGATTTAAGTTTGTCCAGAAGATATTAAGTTGTTAATGAGCAGTCAGTCCTCTTAGCTGTCTAGTTTTATGGGTGCTTTGGGGTGTTCTTTTTCATTTTTGTGGTATTTGGGATCAAACCCAGGGCCTTGCACATGCCAAGCAAGGGATCTACCACTAAGCTATACTCCAACCACTGTCTAGTTTTTGTTTTAACTTCTTTTAATTAGAAACATCTCTGTCATATAGGCAATATGTTTATTATACAAAATACAAATGAACCTAAAAATGCATAAGTAAAAAATTTGTTAATTCCAGAGATAGCCAGTATTTAACCATCCAGTTTTAAAACTTTTTTTTTTTTTTTTTTAAGTATTGAGGACTGAACCTGGGGGCACTGTACCACTTAAATACATTCCCAGCCCTTTTTATTTTATTTTTTGAGACAGGGTCTCACTAAGTAACCTGGACAGGCCTCAAACTTGCAGATCCTCCTACTTTACCCTCTCAAATTGCTGGGTGGGATTATTCAGGTTTGTGGGAATCACAGGCTTGTGCCATTGCACCAGGCTAAAACTATTTTTTCAGTTGAGTGGATTTTTTTGTTACCTTTTTATTTTTTTAAACCAAGAAGATTATCAACTGCATGCATGTTTATTTGAGGCATTGGTTTATTTAGATTCAATTTAATGAGTTTATAGTCACCAGAAATGGGAACTAAATTGCCATTTTAAGAATTATACATATGTCTAGAACAATTTCTGACACATAGTAGCTACTCAAAAAATATTTCTGGAATGAATATACATAAAACAATCCAATCCTCAATATGTGGTAAAATTGAATCTTATAGTAATTATTATAATCTCATTTTATGTTTAATATTTTAAAGCTTAAAGTTAAAATATCATTTTGCATATCTCTAAATCCTTATTTCCCTGTGGTCTTTCTTGACTGAAAGGAAGTTTTATATATATTGATGATGGCTCTTCTGGGCGTACTTAAACTTTTTAAACTTTTGAACTTCAAGGGAAAATTGACCACTTCTGAACTTTTCATCAAAAAGTTATTTTAGGGCTAGGGATGAAACTTATGGTAGAGTGCTTGCCTAGCATGCTCAAGGCCCTGGGTTTTCCATCCCCAACACTGCAAAAAAAAAACATAAAATTAAATTAAAAATTATTTTAAAAATTGCTAGGTGCCGAGCAGAGTAGCGCACACCTATAATCAGTGGTTCAGGAGGCTGAGTCAGGAAGATCAAAAATTTAAAGCCAGCCTCAGCAACAGTGAGGCACTAAGCAACTCAGTGAGACTCTAAATAAAAATACAAAATAGGGCTGGGAATGTGGCTCAGTGGTTGAGTGCCCCTGAATTCAATACTCAATATCCAAAAAAAACCCAAAAAATCCCAAATTGCTAGGCAAACCCTATCCAGGAGATTCGAAGCAATTATATATAGTTCTGAATTGGCAAACATGTTATTTTTTAAAAGGAGATTGAAATTTTTGGAAAACTGAGGTATACCTCCTGTTTATTATGCTCAATGAAACTTCCCCTTCCTATGAGTATTCTTTCTAGTACTATACTAAGAATTTTGAGACTAAGAATCAGAGACCTTCAATATGTTCTTCTCAGATCATACTAGTGCACATATATTTATGATTTTTGTTTACTACCTAGCAGTATCTAGGTGCCCTTTTCTCCCAGGAACACACATTCTTCTAACAAACATCCACTGGGAACCTACAACCTGCTTTGCCAGATGCTTATATTGTGCTGAATGCTATGTCTCTAGAGTTTTTTTTGCTCACTTTTTTAAAAAATAAATCATAAAGCTTCCTCTTAATTTCAAATAAATGGAAATAAAATGTCTTTGGAATTAATTTGAATATCAAAGTTTTAGAATTTAAAGAATTATATAGCTCACATATAACACTTAAGTAGCAAAACAAACAAACTTATGTGATTGATCTTTAAACTAAAAACTTAACATTTTTAATTTTTTTAACTTGGGGAGAATTGAAGGAGAAGATAATTTGCAACTGTAGTTATATGTGTGGGTTTTTCCCCAAAGTAGTCCCTTACAATTTTGAATTATTTCAACTTCAATGGGAAGTCATCTGTGTATTTGATATTCTTAAATGAAAAAAAATTCCATCATTAAACAAAATAGTTTTTAAATATGCTTCTCAGAAAATATATATGTCTAAAATATATTATACTTTTTATGCATAAAGTTAGTTATTTTCAACTCATTTACTTTGTGATGTAATTTCACTAATTAGTTACTATAGAACTTAGGTTATACAGGATAAATGAAAGAAATGGTTGTTGCCCATTTTTGTGGCTTTTATGGTCACAGGGTGAGGAGTATTGACATTTATCAATCAGATTTATAAATATTGTGTCAGGCCTTTTATTATCTTGCTTTACTCTAGTTTAATATGCCCTTCATTTTAAAAGGTCATTTCTTCCCATTGACTCTTAAATGTTTCTCCCTGTCTGTCTTGGTTTTAGACTAGTTTCTTTATAATACTACCAGTTTCTAATATGTTGGGTTTTTTTATTCACTATTTGATATATTTGTTTTAATATATGTTCTTGTTTTAGCAGGTAAAAGAATCATAACTTAATTTTTTTAAAGAACATTAATATTCTCTAATAACTGTCTTTTATGCATTTTTGCACGTTAACTTTCTTCATTAACATCTGGGGTCTTTAATAAAAAATGTAAAGCACCATACTTAACAAGAGACTTTTCTAGGAACTAAATTAAATATTAACAATCTCCCTCCTTCCCTTACCTCCTGCTTCTCAAAAATGGTGAATCTTTGAACTTTGGCTGCATCCTTAAAAACTGATGGATACTCATAGTCTTAACAAAACTAGAGTCACCAAATTTGGCAGCAGAAATAGTCTTATTGTGATAACTGTCCTAATTATATTATTTACCAGCACAAGTTCAGAATATTTTGTAGAATTATTCGATGCTGTTTGTGACTTTCAAAACTTAGGAGAAAAACAACCTTTATAATGTTTTGAGAGCATTGAATGAATTCATAAATTATCTGAGAACAGTTGTCTTTTCCTAGACGTTTATCCACTAATAAAAATTTACGATTATAAAAAGTAAAGACTTTAAGTATAGTTCAATCAATCCCAGTAAAGTTAAGCCAGATTGGGTGAATTAGAACTCAAATACAATGCACAAATTCTTCAGAATTTAATTAATGGCCAGTTTTTATAAATGGTGCTTAAAAATTGGTGACAGAACCATAGATAGCTATGCCTCTCTTATCCAGATAGTTTCATACTTATAAATGCCAATAAAAGTTTA